TCTTCATTTGTATCCGTAACTTTTTATTAATTTTTTTTCCATTGCGTAGTTTGTATACCAACTTATCACTTCGTTTGATAAAATATCGTAAATTCTCTTTTTTCAAACTGTCCGGATTTGGATAAGTAGAAACATTAAAAAAAAAATCTCTAGTAAAGCTTTCCCAATCACTTTCCGTTTCGAACCAGTTATAATACTTCATTTAATTTCAATATTTTCAGTTTATTTTACATATTGCATAATCCTATTTAGAATATTTGCAAATCAAGATTTCTCAAATACCTTTCGTTTGGTACCCATATTGTAACATTTCATTTATTTTATCAATTTAATTGAGTTAAATTTTCAAACAGGTGGCAAACCTCCTCAAACATATTTTCGACTGTAAGTCTTCTTAAAACTATTTAGTTTGATACCCACATTGCAATATTTCGTTTATTTAATCAATTTAACTGAGTTACAATTTTAAAATAGGTTGCAACCCCCCTCAAAAATATTTCCAGCAGTCATGTTTTAAGACCTCTTTAATTTGATTCCTATATTGTAATAAGTCATTTATTTTATGGATTAAATTTAGTTAAATTTTCAACAGGTAACAACTCTCCTCAAAAATATATTCGGCTGTAAGCTTTCTTAAAACTCTAAAGTTGAATACCCACATTGCAATATTTCGTTTATTTAATCAATTTAACTGAGTTACAATTTTAAAATAGGTTGCAACCCCACTCAAAAATATTTCCAGCAGTCATGTTTTTACATGATGCAAAAATACAAGGTGGTATCAATTGTGACAGCTCGATTTGACACTGCCTTAGCTCAGTAGAACGAGAAGAAAAACGGGAAGAAATTAAGCCCCATTTGGGGGAAAAACATAACATTTCACATTTTTTCCTAAACCAAATTTGCTTTTTTATAGTATGTTCGTAATGAAATGAAATAATATAAGATAAAATACCTTTTTTAAAAAAAAAATGTGTATACTGAGAAAAAATAAAAAAATATGCAACTATATTATTAGGCAAAGAATTGTTAAAGAAGTAACACTGTCTCACCTAAGGCAGTCAATATGGCGGAATTAGAGCGAGAAGTTGCTAACTGATAACACCTATATTATTGCATCATGATGTTTTTAGACCTCTTTAATTTGATTGTTTGATGATTGTAATAAGTCATTTATTTTACCGATTAAATTTAGTTAAATTTTCAACAGGTAACAACCCTCCTCAAACATATATTCGGCTGTAAGCTTTCTTAAAACTCTAAAGTTTAATACCCACATTGCAATATTTCATTTATTTTATCAATTTAACTGAGTTAAAATGTTCAAATAGGTTGCAACCCTCCTCAAAAATATTTCCAGCAGTCATCTTTTTTAAACCTATTTAATTTGATACCTATATTGTAATAAGTCATTGATTTTATCGATTAAATTTAGTTAGATTTTCAAGCAGGTAACAAACCTCATCAAAAATATTTTCGGCTGTAAGCTTTCTTGAAACTCTAAAGTTTAATACCCACATTGCAATATTTCATTTATTTTATCAATTGAGTTAAATATTTCCAGCAGTTATCTTTCTTAAACCTCTTTAATTGATTATCGATATTGTAATATATCATTTAGTTTATCAATTAAATTGCGCTAAATTTTTTAACAGGTGGCAATCCTCCTTTAAAATATTTTCGCCTGTGAGCCTTCTTTAAACTCTTTAGTTTTATATCCACATTGCAATATTTCATTTACTTTATCAATTTAACTGGGTTAAAACTTTTAAAATTGGCCGGAACCCTCCTAAAAAATATTTCCAGCAGTTACCTTTCTTAAACTTCTTTAATTTAATATCTATATTGTAATATATCATTACATTTATCAATTGAATTGCGCAAAATTTTTTAACAGGTGGCAACCCTCCTTTAAAATATTTTTGACTGTAAGCCTTCTTAAAACTCTTTTGTTTGACACCCACATGGCAATATTTTATATATTTTATCAATTTGACTGAGTTAAAATTTTTAAATAGGTGGCAAAACTCCTCAAAAATATTTCTAGCGGTTATCTTTCTTAACCCTCTTTAATTTGATACCAATATTGTAATATTTCATTTATTTCATCGGTGTAATTTAGTTAAACTTTGAAACAGGTGGCAACCCTAATCATACATATTTTCGGCTGTAAGCCTTCTTAACACTCTTTAATTTGATACCCGCATTGCAATATTTCATTTTCATAGGAACACAACATTTTTATTAATATAGAAGATATAACAAAAGTTCAATAACAAAAAAATATAATACGTTAAAACTTGGCAAAAAGTGGTTCGGTTATAATTTTTTGACCACTGTATGTATTTTTTTTTTCAGAACCCAAAAATGGAGAATCTAAAGAGTTATTTCTCACCAAAGGAAAAATACGCTATAATTTGCATATTGTGCACAAAAGTGGTGAAAACCAGTGGAAACATATCAAATATGCGTGCGCATATTAAAGCAAATCATCATCACATATCTCTTCAGTTCTTCCAGATTTACATAAAAAAGGCGTGAGTACTAGGTACTCATGAAATTTGATGTGTAAACATGCGTACGGAAAAGCACAAAAGTACGTTTACATACATGGTACAATTATTACAGGTATTGTCTTCCCAGAGAGCGCATATTCCGATCTGCCTTATTTGAAAAGCATTATTGTTGCCAACACTAAAAGGTTTACTGCAAGGGAAAAGGGATATTTCAATACACCATATACCATGTATGTACACGTATTTTTTTTAACAGACCTTCTTGCAGAGAACTTATTTAATTTGCAAAAGCCGAAAAATAAACAATTAGTTACTAAACAATTTCAAAATTTTTACTGCTCACTTTATTTCAAAAGTTTTTGATGTGTATACATCTTCGGGTTCGGTAGGGATAAAATTTGTGAAGCTGTAACGCATAGCCCAGCAGAAGATTTCGGAGGGCTTAGCATGTGTATTGCAGCAGAAAGTTTTAATTTTCATTAGAGGCACCCTGTGTTTACTTGCTATTGTAAATTGTTGCATACAACCGAACGTCGATCGAGTAGGACGTGTTTTTGTGGTGCTCTAAAATATTTGCATTTTTCCTCGCTTAAATTTCGAAATTTACCAAAAATTGCTGACCTATCTGTGCACGTGAGTGCTCTTATCTGTTTCTGTCGCTGATACGCACACACTGATTCACATGACTTGCATTAACGCCGATTCAGCTGATAGCTAAACAAGAAAGCGAAATTTCACGCCATCAGCAGCCATATTTGATAGAATGGAGAGGAAACTGGAACAGCAGAGAGACTCTATCATCGAGCAGAAGAGAGGGTAATGCAGCAGATTGGCGTCCTCCCTGCTGAAACGACAAATTTGAAATTCCCCATTGCAGCCATCGAGAAAAGAGTGACTGCTGTTAAGAATGCGTGTGCTGATGTTCTCTGGAAACATTGACACATATGTGGCTCGCAATTCCAGCAGGGCATCAATGTTTTAATTTAGTGAAAAGAAAAGACAAGTTTGTTTGTTTAAATTAATAATTACTTGCTATGTGTTTATTTGAAATGAGTTTGGTTTATTGCTAATTAATTACAATATTACCTTGTGTGAGATGAAGGGTGGTGGTTGATAGGTGTCCGTGCTCGCTCGCTGGTGATTAAAATGGAATGACCGCGCTCTTTTATAAAAGGTTTAGCGGAACCCTCAAACAGCGAACTGTATTGAGGGGAAATTAAAAGCGTTTTCTTTTCTCAAAAAAAGTTCTGCCCTTTTATATGGGAACTCTTGCTTTGCGTTGCCCTGAAACCTGAGAAAATGTTGCGTTCTTTATATGAGAATGAAACAGAAAATATACTACTCCATCACAATTTATTTATAGAACTTAATAAAGCTGAATTATTCACTTGGCCTGTAAGTCTTTAACAATTTTAAAGCAAACCCCTTATTTCTGATAGGGAAAATAATTGCATTTTTACAGAATTAAATTAAAAATCAACCATGCAACTCTCACCCTCACGTTTATTTGAGGGCAGAAAAGGCAGCACTTTCGCCGGATCAGAGCGCAACCTGCCGAGAAAATAACACGACACCTTGTGAAAGGGCTGAGAACAGAACATGAAAATGTGACAGCGCTAACACAAGGCAGAATAAGTGCAGCCTTTTTTCGAGAAAAGAAAACGCTATAAGCTAATTTGTTTATATTAAGTATTTGGCGGGAAATATAATGAAAAAGGGTGTTCGTGCATATTCGTATGCATGTACATATACATATGTGTATGTGTTTGCGATTATATATTAGGGTGGTTCATCCTTTTAAAGTTTGGTTTAGGCTTATGGCCTAAACATGCCGGCCCCCTTGCTATAAGCAACATCTGTTAGGCCAACCACCACACCTACATTACCAAATAAACAAATAAATTTAAAATAAATATTAAATTGCATTCGGCTTCCTAGATATTGGAAAAAGAAGGTTAGTACGAGAGGACATGGTTAAACATTTCTTTGCACATATGTGTATAATAAATTCAAGCAATAAGTAGCTGCCGAGGCCGTGTCTCCAGTCTACCGTGATGCTGTATTTGATAAAATTATGTATCGCTTATATGTAGGCTTTTTGAACGTGGTCGGAAAGGCCCAGATTCCGATCCCCGTTGTGGTATTTGCTTGTACTAATTTGGGTCGGAAAGCCCAAGCTTCCGATCCCATGATGTGATCGGGCGGAAAGGCCGAGTTTCCGCTCCGAGTCTTTCGTTTATGTATATACATATATATATTTTTTGTTAATATTATTATTGGTTGGTTGGGTGGCGATTAGCAATGAAATTTGGTTATAATTATTGTATGATCTATAATCCAGAGTTTAAATTCAATTGTTTAATTATACAAATTTTACGTGTAAGGATTTGTATACAAGCGTGCAGGGTACTTTAATTCATGAACCGATACATTGTTATCGATTTAGGGTATTAAGGGCCAATTTCAGATGAGCCGTCCAAGTAAAGATTGCTGATTAACGTTAAAATTTCATTTTCAGATCATTTGTATGTATATGCAAACTGCTTATATAGCCATTTAAATAACACTCCGAAATTCAACTCAATTAAATTTTCATTAGAAATTTGCCGTAAGAGTAATTGATGTGCATATGATAATTAACACCTTGGCCTGCCTCCAAAAAGAAAAAATTCCCTATATTTAACATGTGGTGGCGTTCCTTGCTACTTTTACAATTTTTCTTATTATTTCGGTAGGTGTCGCTGATCTTGACAGCTGTGCTTTACTAAGAGATGGGAAATCGCATTTTGTAGCTGGCACTTAAATTACCTAGGTTTGTATGTATATAAATGTGCCTAAAAGACCAAACACAGGTTTATACATTTTTATATTTGGCTAAGCAATGTGTTGAAATGTTTTTTTAAGAAAGGTTGCAAAGTTACATTGCAAATGTGCTCAACTTGGATTCTTGTACCGAAAGTACTTTCAGCTTAAGCAAGTCTGAACGGGGTATAATGGTACCTATTTTTCCATCACTGGTTACACTACAGTGGCATACTTTACAATTTCCTGAATGACACAAATGTCAGTCAATTAGCAACCACCACGAGGACATACTATAAGTGAAGCCAAAGTAGAGTAAATTATGCAAATAGTAATATATTTTAATTAAACTTATATTTTTAGGTGCCGTATTGATTAAACACTTGCAATTAGGATCTACGGTTGCCAAACCGTTGTACCAGGTGTAAACCACCAACGAACAAAAACCCACATTCATTAGTAAGAATCCTTAATACCCTGACGAATATTACGATGGGCAATTCGAATGCCGACATGTGCTGCCAAATGAGCCTTCAAAATTGGCACCAAAACGCACGAGAGGAAAAAAGATTTAGAACCTGTTGAAGCGATGAGAGGCGTTGGAAACTGTCACCTACCCGCAATCTTCATATAGACACCTCAAGAGGTGCTGCTTGTACGGCTGTGAAAATCGACAGATTCAACGAAAGCGAAATTTAATTTATACAATGGTACATTTTATGCTTTGAAATTTAACACGTAACTCTTACAACAGCTATGAGGCACATCAGTGAGAACAAGCTAACAATTTTTAAAACGGAAGCAATTGAACGAGGTAAGAACAACTTTTTAAAGGTTTCGATTCGTCAGTAATAGACTTTTATACAGCTAGGTTCCTGACTCCCTCAATATTACCTTACGGTTCTGTGGTTCAGAATAATCAATTAGCAGTACCAGACTCCACCAAGATGCTATTTGCTAAGATCTCACGTTCGCGCAACAATGCCGCAGTTTTGCAAACATAAGTGTGCTCATCAAAACCAAACACAGGCTGTTTGCGAAATGGCGTGAGAGTAAGTGTAAGAGTAGTATGTACAAATGAATATACATTAAAATGTGAATATAAAAAGGAAAGATGTGCTGCAGTGTGTACATTAGGGCATTGTTATATGAGGGCATTTTGCTGGCACAACCAATTTTGGAATCGTTAAGGTTCACAGACAATGAGTGGCTGAAGGAATTATCAAAACCCTTTATTACAGAGATGACGAATTGATCGCAGTTCTCGATTTTATGGTGCCAGGTGCAAGGTGCATAAATGTCAAAAAACTCTCATTACTTATGTATGTAGCAGGGTTAGAACTTTACTATGATCGTAGTAAATTTACAACGATTTTCTAATATATTAGATCTACTTCGATTTTCTGTGGGAATAATAAAAAGTCCTTACTAAAGTGTATCTGAACCAAAAAAATACAAGAATTTTCTTATTCTCCAATGTTTATAGATCCATTTCATTTATATGAAAGCATTTCACAATAAGCTCATATCCTATCTTTTGTAAGCATGTAACTAAGTTATATGAAAAGAATTGGCTAAATTTTGGCACTTCCGAACTTGTACATAGTATGTATGTATGCGTGCATCTCTTAATATACATGAGTATTTATGAAAGGAATTCATGGTTGAAGCGTCATTTAAAAGCACTGTTTGCTGCTCTTTTTTAACACTGTACAAGCCACTGAATTGTATGTCCTGGACCTATTTTGGAGGCTCCCAAGAAAATCTAAACATACCTGAACGCGGTTTAAAACTAGATTTCTTCATCGCGCCAAAGTCTAAGTTTTTAGGAATCACTGCCGTTGAATATGCCATCTGATATATCGCTAGCTTAGAGTGAAATGTTGCTAAGTCCACTTTTTATGAACAATTAGTTTTTGATGCAGGAAGCAAGGAATATTGAAAATGCACCGTTTCTGAAAGGATCTAACTACTTGTTTTATTTCTACCCGTTTTATTCCGTGATGTGCAAAATTGCTAAGTCCAAAGTAGTCACAGAAAATTTGATAACTCCAAAAAAATATGAATTTTTTACGCTATCGAATTCGATTTGTATTGAGGGTTTTTGCAACAACATTATTTTGGAATATTTATGTACATATGTATGTATGTATATTAGGCTGGGTCGATTTTGTATGGAGGCATTTGACCGTATAGTAATAGTAATATTATGATGTCTTAGCTCTAAGCCAATTGTTATTGGCCAAGAAAGATTAATTTAAAATTTATCTTTAGTCCGCGCAATTGAATCAAAGTGTATGAATTTTGAGAATGAAATTTTGGCTTGTATTATCTGTGGAATGCGTTCATTGTTATAAACAGGACGATATATCAAATTAGGGTTATTAAATTTAGTACCTCACGTTCATTTATCATTTTTCAATAAGTCTACAAGTTTTTAAGATATTAAAATAAAAAAATAAGAAAACTATAATTTTCCCTTATGAATTTTCAATTCTTCATAACTTCAGCAACCAAGTGAAAAATAAAAAAAGTGAGACGATATTTATTTCAAACGTTTTAATGCTTTCGGATGTTTATAAGATATTAAAATGAAGTCAAACATGTATTGTCAAAGATTAGGAATCGTTTGATAAGTTAATAGTAGTTGCAAGCATAAATATAAGTATTTGCATACATTAACATAATACAATTAGGGCCCATTTTGAGTCCATTTTTCGTGGTTTCTAAATTTGCCGTTATATGAAAGTAGGGGACGTGCAACAAGTGTTTACATAAATATTTTAGTTAATTCCATAATGTGAAAAAGTAACTGTAGGTAGGTAAATGCAATAGTCTTTAATATATCCTGGAAAATCCTTTTGAGGACTCTCCAATCGGACGATATTGCTTTACATTCAGCTTGAACGAAAAAAGTCACTCTCTGGCATACTTTTCTGTAATCCGGTTCTTTCATTTAAAGGTTCTTTATAAAATTGAAGAGAATTTTTTTTTAGAAAAAAACTGGAGATCCACTTAAGTTTTTCGATATAACTTTGGTAAATGTTACTCGATCGGCACGTAATAATTACCAAATTGATAATAATAATAATGATAATATAAGTATATAAAGCTGCTCGTCAAAACCTAGACCATACGATGTTCTTTATTTGGATCACACTTTTTTAAATCATTTAATAACGTACAGTTTTGTAAAAATATTCGTCCTGGACGTGGTAAAGGCGATGCCAAAGTAATAGATGTTCGTGGTATCTGATACACACCAACCGGTGAAATATTTTTTAAACTTAGGTTATCAGATCCATGGAAAACTCTTCCTCAAAGATTAGACACAAGTATAGTCCCGTTACAGTGGTCCAGTTTGCAGCAACTTCACCAAAGCAGACGCCGAATTACAGCAAGAAAGAACGAAGATTTTCAGTATTTAAAAGCAACTTTGCCTAAAGACCATCATAATTTTACGATAGTTTGCCACATGAATGATTGTTTGGTGTGTAGTTTAGTTTCAGCGAACAATAAATACTATTAATTTAATCTACCAATAATTGTTTGTTCATTATTATTTTAATGTATAAGTTGTTGTTTATAATAAACAAGTTCGCAACTACGTTTCAAATTAAAAATATGTATAAAAAAAATCTCATCTTCTTTTTCAGAAAATTTATTTAGTCTGAACCGAAAATCCCATTAATGGGATCGTAAAAGAATGGCCGCTGTGGTGTAGTGGTAAGCAGTGCGCGCTGTCACTGCGCAGGGCCTGGGTTCAAGCACTGGTCAAAGCAACATTACAAACAAATTTAGAAGAGAAGGTTTATCCTTAACAGCGGTCGCCCCTTGACAGGCAATGGCAAACCTCCGAGTGTATTTCTGCCATGAAAAACAGCGTAAAACTGTAAGTCCCTTCCCTTTGTGTGACAACATCAGGGCGCACACCACAAATCGGAGGAGAAGCTCGGCCAAACACTAACATATGTGTAAGCGCCAATCTATTACACAAGGGAAAAAAATGGGAAACAATATCGTTGCATCAAATGTTAATACTGTTTTGGATAGACTTTTTTATGCTGATTACGAATCTGTAAGTATAAAGTCTCCATCAGCTTTAGATTTGGAAAAAAACGAGGTCAAAGTGTCAAAAAACCGCGTTTTTTGCAATATTTTAGAAGCCATAGCAAAGAAACTAAAGGTGATATTAGGCTTAAATTAAAGCTAGAAGTCTCCACTACTATCCCTGAAAATACCATCCCTGCACCTTGAATTGATGGTCAGTTATAGTAATCAGCATAAAAAAGTCTATCAAATAGCTTTAACATTCGATGCAACAAAATCACTGTTCCCTTGTGTTATTATTATTATTCAAACCATTTGTTCTAACAAATTGTTTCTTAAAATGTACCTACGAGAGGGATTTTTCGTATTGTACATATTGGAAAAATTCATGGAAAATTTGCTAAGTCCAACAAAAAAATTTTAGGAAAAAAGTAGAAAATTTGATGTCACAAAATTATCTACAAAATTTGTAAAAAAGCAGACTTTTATAAAATTTTTTTTTTTTAGTAAAGGGTAAATGAAAAACGCGAAACATTGCATTCAAAGTTTTGCAAAATACTTAAAGAAAATTACTTAGGAACGTTTTTTGTGTCTCCTGTACAATTGAAAAAAATGGACTTAGCAACTTTGCACTCTAAGCTAGCGATATGTAGGTAAATATGTGACTATCTGATACAATTTTGTCAGTTGCTTAACCCAATGGTTTCCTCCTCCTCCAGTGTTTTGGAAACTGATATTTCACTTGCACTTGATCATGAATGCTGTTTGTTTTAAGGTTGAAGTATTGTTGCTCTGTACTACAGTATTTCGTATGAAGTGAAATTGGCGAGGTCGTTCCGTTGCGCCACCACTTTAGTTTTCTCTAGGTCATATGCGGGTATACGTTCGTACGACCATGTGTGCCTCTTCGGTGTGAGGACTTATTACGAGGCGTAGCGTCAGTGCCTCCCCCGCCCAAAAAGTTGGAAACTAAGATTCGCCGTGGCTTTGGCGTTTGTGTACTAAAATATTTCTCTATCTTTTGAGTTTTGGTTTTTGAGACTGTTTCTGATGAAGTAAGACGCTTGATGAAAGAAACCGAATTGAAGGAAGATCCGCGTTTAATTTTTTGGGATATCGGCTCTGTCTGGCCAGTTATTATCCAGCCGAAGACGGATTCTTGCGCTAGTAGAGTTCCTTTCCTTTTGATACCATTTAATATTATCTGGGCATATATATCGCCGCCCAAAATAAGATCAACTTGTTCATTTTTGAAGAAGTTCTTGTCCGCTAAGAGAAGGCCCGGAAACACTTGCTTAGTCTTAGCATTTACTTCGCAAGTCGGTAAATTTCCGGTGAGTCGTGGTAGAACTACGACTTGCGTACTTATACTGGTTGAAGGGTCAATGGGTGACCGCAGATGAATGACGCACCTTTCTTTTACTTGTGCAGAAACACTCTTTGAGGGCAGGTTGATTTTTCGTTTAAGACTTTCTGTTATAAAAGAGGCTTCTGAACCGGAATCTATTAATGCGCGGGCCGAAAAGTTAGTATTATTGAAATTTATATTGACACGCGCTGTTACTAATAGAACCCCTTTTCTCGTATTATCAAAGCAAGATTGAATGTTATCTGCTGAATTAATATTTGCAATTGCATCACGCCTTGCTTGAGCTTGCGCAGACTTAGATGCGCTTTCATATATGTGATACGACGTATTAGTTGGAGTACTTTCTTTTGGTTGAACTGCTTGAACATGAAGTGATGTATGGTGTCTCAGGTGACAGGTTCTGCAATTGAAGGAGCTACTGCACCTTGACACCGTATGTCTGGAGGATAGACAATTCAAGCAACTGTGAATGCTCTTAACGAAAGCGATTCTATCTTCTGCTGTTAGCTTCAGGAATTTTTGGCACCTTTGTAATTTGTGCTCGT